GGGACCTGCGGATAAAGTATTCAAATTTGGGCGGGGGAGGGTGGAAGACGGAAAATGTGAAAGTGTAAGAAGGGAGGCGTCAGCAGTAGCCTGTTTTCGCTTACCCGCCCTGCTGTATGCAGCAGGTAAGGCGACCCGGCTGATGGCACCACGCAACGCCCGATGTGGCATGAGAGTATTGTTAGTTGTGTAGGTCATGGTTGTACGAGAGCTGGGATACTGCCAGGGCGCCCACACCTAGACAGGAGGACGATTAGGGTCCTCAACCAAAGCCTTTGGCTCAAAAGCCTAACCACAAGGCAGCGGTGTTTGGCGGGGAAATGCAAATGCATTACCTTTTCTACGGAACAAGTCGCCATACATGTTCCAACCCCCAACCTGGAGGACCAGGAGACTGTGTTCGTCTGACCTCTAACCATTGACCAACCTAATATGAGAGACTCTGTGAGTGTCGCGCGGACACCCCCCAGTATAGCTCAATGGGTCGCCGAGGTACACGAACCGCCACACCACGATAAGGTCCAGTCTCTTCGTCCAACATAGTACCAATAAGCTTTGTCAGGTGGGTCACCAGGGAATTTCCGTCTTCTTTGAAGAGGGCTGGATACAGACCGTTCGGTCCTGGTGCCTTCTCACGTTTCAGTACAGCTATTTGATACCTTATACCAACGTGAACCATGATACAATTGATCAGTGAGTGTTCAGTGAAACATAAGTGACCAAAAATGTCTATTGGCACTGCTTTCACGCGTTCAAAAGCATCCCCCTATATCCTACCGCGACACTACAGCAGTAGGTACGGTATTCGCTACACATGATCTTGTCTTTTCCTCCACACGACGCTTGAAAATAAACTTCAGAATACAATACTATACAACCATACACTACAACTCTGGAAACTTGGCCGGGGACCGTCAAAGAAAAATGGCTCCATTTTCAGTGATTGTGGCCCAGTTAACGTAACCATCAACCTGTACGTTTGAAGTTGTGACTGTCGGTTTTAAGAGCACTAATGCATGGAGGTTTCTGTCTGTTTGCAACGCTCCGATTGCTGTGATTATTTGGATTGATGAAAGCGACCCCACTTACCTGTCTAGCTTGGTCTACTGATCTTTAAGATGTCCCCGAAGTTCTACCTAATGTTTAGCCAGCGAAATTCTCGGTTCCAGCTGTAATTATCTCCTAAGGTATAGCTCCTTAATTTCTGCAGTTGCCTGGACAGATTCAATGTTACAACGTCTACAACGAATACACGTGACTTTTAACAACTACAGCAGGAAGAAAACCCCCACACGGTTGACTTGCTTGACTTCGGTGTTTCCTATAAATCTGGAGTCCTTTCGCGAGATTGGATATCGTTCCGAAACACTAGGCAGTACGAATTGAGAAAGTCAGGTATGAGGTAGGACTGACTAGGTCTACTTTTGGCACGTTTTGAAGATCAGTGAACAAGAAAGCAAACGCAACTAGCATCCAGCTCGATACAATCATTAGGAACATGATGGACTGAAAATGTCCTTCATAAAACTGCCGTTCAAACGCAACCAACAATGGTCACTGCGCCCCTATCTAGGAGTGTTATTCAAGGTTTTCAGGGTTGATACTCATGTGCAGAGGCAAGGCGAGGCAATAGTATTGAGGCCAGTAGTCGCATTATGACAGGCATCAGGCCCATACCTCGATGATTGAAACGGTCACTTTTCGTACCTTTTTTGGATGTACGTAGATGATTAGCTGACCGAAGTTGTCAGGAATACATTCTTGTTTCCGTAAAAAAGTTGATTGAGTTAAGGCAGAGTACAAAGATTTATCATCGTCTATTAGTAGCGAAGGTGAAAGCATATGTAACTAAGCAACCCGATGAATTTTCAAGGGAAAACGGTATACTATACACTGGGCTTCCGACATAATGTGACAAGTGTAAATCTGAAACACATCGTGATGGAATGATATGTTATCATACGACGTTCCAATTGAGCAAACTTTTCCAAGGGGTTTACGGACTTCAGCAAGCTCAGAAAGACTTTGTCTTGGGTAATTTTGTTGTGTAAGCTGGAACGGTTTCGTACATTTTCTGCTTCATCAGCCTCCTCCATGTCCTGGGCATTTGATGCCACCACACGCCGCTGTCTGAGTTGACGTTAACAGCCCCAAAGGTCAAATCGGATACGGAAGTGAAGCACTGGCGTTAAACGAGCTGTCAATGATGTTGAATCAGTCCAGAGAGAACACAAGAAGCGACAACGACCGACATGAGGCTTAGCGGTGAGTTTGTGCCTTCAGAACCGCCGCATGCTAGTTATCCAGCGCCATGTGATTCAGAAGGCCATTCCAATGCTTATTACACCAAAAATTCAGAGTCTGGGTTCCAAATATCATGAAGAGACCGTCGGATTATATGCCAGGTCGTCATACAATAAACCTTGGAAATGAATAACACCTATCGTAACCCAATCAAGAAGAGGATAAAGAAACGGACACGTCGAGTTTGAGCAGCTCCATACATCTACGGATGCAGAGGAACAACTACGTTGGCATGTATGGCCTCTCCAAAAGACCTATAGGGCGAGATTCAGAAAAAAATGACTGAAAGTTATGGTTAACCTTGAATTACTTCGGAGGCACCTGAACCAGAACCGACAAGTCAACTATGGATCTCCTCACCTAACATCAGAAGGTGACTCAATAGGAGGTGGCGAACTCAGCCGAACTCCGTGGTTCGAAACCTATCCCTCTGCATCTTGACTGCTCCTGTCTAGGCTTGGGCAATCTGGCGGTATTTCAGCTCTCAAGCTGCCTTCGGGTGGCAGGGCAGATAAGCACTAAGAGGGTGTTACAGCTGAACGATCTAGTTATTTCGGCAGGAGCATCGCATATCTCGTCAAAGTCTACAAAGACCCTTGAGTTGTATTATGCAACTTCGGATATATGAATTTACTTGCACAGTCTTTTGAATCAAATCTGTGCTCTTTCCTCCAAAATAGCGGACAGAAGTCTTCAGCTCCAGGGTTTGATAAAATCCAATCCCACATGCTTATATCGCCGTCGAAAGATCCACGTAAACTTACCTTTACGTTTTCCTGAGCCTAATCGACAGAACAAAGCCACTAATGTGAGGGCAGTGATTGACTTGCAAGTTTTCAAGGCGAAGGCCTATTTGGTTCCTCAACCTAATCAAAAAATCCCGGATTTCCTAATCTAATCTGAATTTATAGAATCCCGATGGCATAACTTGAGTAGAAGAGCTTATCATAGCGTCCTGTAACGAAATCTAGCATAACGTGGCAGGGAATTAACTGCCTTAGTGGCTTCAGGGTTACCCGATTATGGGTTATCGAGTGAGAATCTCTATGAGGTGAGTCAACTGGGATAACACAGGGATCAGTGATGGAACCTTGCCTTTCTGACATTTCTCAACGATTTCCGTCCACTGATCGAGCCATACAAAGACACGGCCAGTAAGAACGTTGAAGGAACCTGCAACGCTATGACACAACTTGGAGGTGCCAGCACGTGTGAGGCCGAATAGCCGCTGAAAATCTAGGAAATAAGCTATTGCAGGTGCCTGCAAGGAACTTGAACTTCACTGGTCTAGGGCTCTTGGAGAACCGGGTCCATACATGCAAGTTTGCATTACAACAGCTGTGACTACTGCGGGACACGCTTGATCTGTTCAAACGGAAGGCATACAGAACTCACTTATATATAAAGAACTCACACGAACCTAGTAACCATCAAACACTTAGAGCGGAAAGATCTGAGTATTTCTCATAAATCCCATGCTATTGAAGTTGTTCCTCACTGTCTGTAAGAGTTCTCAGTGAATGTTCCAAATATGGATTTTGTATTAGAACACTGACTACTTAACTTAAAGTGCGGGTGCTCTCCGAACTTGAACCACCTTCCACAATGGGCACCTGTTAGTATATATATATATATATATATATATATATATATATATATATATAAGCATACACATTTATCTTTCTCTTCTCTTCTCTCCTACGGACCTCATGTTATTTGTAACGTTTCAAAACCATCAGCAACCAAGTGCGATTTTGAAAGCTTCACATTGAAAGCATCTGGAGTGAGCCACTAAAATAAATATTGCGCTGGAAATGCGAATTTTAAGCCTTAACCGACCTCACAGTCGCCACCCTATGGAATTTCATTCGTCACAAAGCACATCATTTTACCCCATGAACGAGATCTAGATCACTGCGGAACACTGTTATACAGGATAATCACACACAACCTCACGCAATTATTTAACTTACCTGTCCCCGGAGAACGGCATTTTGTGCGGACAATCTGGAAGCCTGAAAATATTGTCCGTCGGTTGAGTCATCCAATGGGAGATAGTTTAATCCAGAGATACGAGAAACGGGGCTACTAGAGCAGACGCCACTATATCCTCTTCCAGACTCTGTTTTTATTCGAGAGACAGTAGAGGTATTGGAGAATTCATAAGCCCCGAAACGAGGCTCTGGTAAATCCGAAAGAGCATTCGCACTATCTTCGTCAACACTGTCTCGCATATCCGAATCGGAACTAGATATGGATCCACGATGGGTTGGTGACTGAGCTGGTTTGAGCGATCCATCCACTGTTTTCACAAAGTGAACTATACCTGGATTTTTTGTACTGTACGACATTGGACGTCCACCTGGAGAGCGAAAGCGGCTCGAAAGGATGACAAAAGTTGGCCACCTACCTTTCGATTCTACAGAGACCGTGTGCAGATGAGATTTGGACAGTGAGTGAAGACGACTGGCGTTGTTGTAGATGGGACTGTCCACAACTGGCTTGTTCTTTGCCTGTATATTTATGACACGGTTGGGCCTCACAATAAAACGAACACGGTTGTTGCCCGAAGTAGACACAGTGGATAGTGTTGGCTTCAGCTGTAAATGAGCTCTGCCTTCAGGAACAGCCCGGAAGCCACTTTGTAAAATCGGTTCACTACATTCGACCTTTACTTTCTTCAATCTCGGTTGGACATCAAATACACCAGAACTGGAGAGAGACTGAGATAGGCTAGCTGCAGAGCCTGTCTTTGATGAAGAACTGTTTGGAGACGGAGCACCAGATGACGAGCCACCAGAGGTATATCCACTTGAATGTCCTGATTCAACCGTAGAGCGAGCAGCTTCGAGAACAACCTCAGGGTCTTCAATAAAACTCATGTCTATGTCTTCAGTGAGTAAATCATCGATATTAACTGGAAGAAATAACAAGATGGCACACACTCACCATTTTCACGAAGAAGGTCGATGTCCGGCAAATCCACCTTATGCTTCATGAATTCAGACACAGCATCGGTTAGTAAGTCATCATGCGACAGCTGACTGGTTCTGATGTCATCAAACATATCTAGGGTCCAGGACTGAAAAATAACAAAGAAAAATAAGCGCTGAATAAATGAAGGTCACAAAACTTACCAAGTCAGCTTCGTCTAAACCTTCGATGGCGTTGCTCAACTCATCGCCTGACACCATCCTAGGGCGACCTTGAATCAAAATGTGCGCCTCTGTTCAGCCAATTTCATTGGATGACTCATTGCAAAATGATTCAAGGACTAAAGCACTGAAACGGATTCGAGGATTCACGGATCGATTCACAGGATCGACGACTTCACCCAAGATTCCTGGGTTGGGTTGATAACGTCATTCAGCGACATCTCTTCCCTCAAAGATAACCGAAAATTAAGTGTGCTACTTTTCTTTACGTCATCAGGCAGTGGTAGTAAGCATGCAAACACAAGGATTCGTAAAGAGAAACATCTAACATCGCTTTATACTAGATATCAGATGCAGGGCAAACAACTGTCGGAGGAGGCCTGTTCCATTCCCTGGCTCCTCGGAATGGGAAAGTTTTTATGAGGTTGTGAGGTTGTGTGTTCCGCCCCTGCGTTGGTTCGTTCCTTGACGCACTAGGAACACCCAAGTTACTAACGTGTGGAACCGATTCACAGGATCGACGACTTCACCCAAGATTCCTGGGTTGGGTTGATAACGTCATTCAGCGACATCTCTTCCCTCAAAGATAACCGAAAATTAAGTGTGCTACTTTTCTTTACGTCATCAGGCAGTGGTAGTAAGCATGCAAACACAAGGATTCGTAAAGAGAAACATCTAACATCGCTTTATACTAGATATCAGATGCAGGGCAAACAACTGTCGGAGGAGGCCTGTTCCATTCCCTGGCTCCTCGGAATGGGAAAGTTTTTATGAGGTTGTGAGGTTGTGTGTTCCGCCCCTGCGTTGGTTCGTTCCTTGACGCACTAGGAACACCCAAGTTACTAACGTGTGGAACCATTCTCCATCACTACTTCCCATCACCAAGGGATTTCCGCAGTTTAGCGTTTTCGGCCCACTACTATTAATACTGCGCATCAACTACGCAATTGACCCGATCGCCAGTGGGTACTGTATTCTATTTGTTGGAGACATTAAGATAGCACGCGTTACGGACCGGTTGTCTTGCCTCCACTCTACCTAATATCATGTAGTACCCGGACTGTTTATCATCTAGGTCCTCTATTTCCTGTATTTTCTTGCCATCTAAAATACCGAGCTCCCTCGAGCCCACTCAGGTTCCCCTTCGGACGATTATTCCCAGCGGATTCTCGACTCATGCACTTCTAAAATTCGGAAACATAGGTCTTCGGTACTCGTGTGGCCTTGGCTTTTCGCACGCGCCTCGGACAAAGTGGATGCAGCCCACAAGCCCTCTACACTTATTCAACACTAATATCAAAACAAACCATGCTTAAGTACCACATTTAGGCAGCATTTAAGGACTAGTCTATTCCCGAATTCGTCTGGCAATATTCACGGACATACCGGGCTTGCATGGAGAATGAGCAGCGCCCATTTACCAAGTTCTTGTTGCCGCATTCACTCGTAATAACATGTCTTTTTTGTTGCTCGCTTGGGCTGGAGACCTTATGGATAAAATCGCACTCACCCTAGGCCTTCTGCACCACCTGATAATACTAATCTCCAAAGGCGTATATAATAATATATAATAATAATAATAATATACCAAAAGGCGTATATAAATGACTCCACCTAGGTCCTCTTTCTGCCTTTTCTAACATAGGCGCAACTCGGAATTTTTGCTCCGGATTTCTAGCTGTGGTACTGTGTTTCGACAAATGCTTTTTCATCTGCCTGTGTTCCAAGCTATTTGAAAAGCTCCTCCTCCATATCCTTGCTATATCCTATCTCACAGGTTTTTGGTATGTCCTTCATTCTCACACTTCTGTTCAAAAGGCTGCGCTTCTTTTCGCACCACAATTTACACTGCACACATTTATTAAATAACGCCTTTAGCATTTATCATTTGCGCTCCCAATCCAACCGTCCATCCACCTGGTCGTAGGGTGTTTGGCCAACAGCATGGGCCCTCTGGTGTTAATCCACAGGGATGCAACACACAATAATATACAAAAGGCGTATATAAATGACTCCACCTAGGTCCTCTTTCTGCCTTTTCTAACATAGGCGCAACTCGGAATTTTTGCTCCGGATTTCTAGCTGTGGTACTGTGTTTCGACAAATGCTTTTTCATCTGCCTGTGTTCCAAGCTATTTGAAAAGCTCCTCCTCCATATCCTTGCTATATCCTATCTCACAGGTTTTTGGTATGTCCTTCATTCTCACACTTCTGTTCAAAAGGCTGCGCTTCTTTTCGCACCACAATTTACACTGCACACATTTATTAAATAACGCCTTTAGCATTTATCATTTGCGCTCCCAATCCAACCGTCCATCCACCTGGTCGTAGGGTGTTTGGCCAACAGCATGGGCCCTCTGGTGTTAATCCACAGGGATGCAACACACCTACCTAGTGTTTGTGGCTAGTAAGTACTCTCACATCTCCCCTATGACCAGGTCTCACTTATTGGGATTGCACCTGCACCTGCCCACTTGAGTGTTGATCTGTTGCCAAGGTCTCGGTTTAATGTCTAGCCTAACTGATATATGGTATACATATGGTATATATTCCTCCACTTCCAGGAACCAACTTGCCCACCACCACCTAATCTCGTTCCTCAAGTTCATAAAAGCATGCACAATGGAGGCCCCGGTTTAAAGCAGCGGACACCGCTCTCACGAAACATGAGACTCCGCTCTATGGTTACTTGAAGACACCGCATACCCGCCACAAGGAACCACACATACAGCTGTCTGTTCTATCCTCGTGCTGTGTCAAAAACCTCAGTTGGTTTTTGGCTGTCATGTCATCTATCACAAATGCGCCCTTATGTTGACATATTTGGCTCTCCTCCATCCCATAAATTTTCTTTTATTACCGGACGCCATCGCCACACTATTTTCTGCCGCTGACTGGAAGCATATCCGAATGATTTCCGCCAAAACTATAGGGTTTTCGAAGTTGAGTTAAACAGGAAATTAGTTTAATCGATATGCACCTTCCGGTGGTGTGTTACATGTAGCATTTTGTTTAAGTGAGCGAAATTTCAAGATCGCGGATCATCACCTGTTTGCATTTTCTTACCGGTTAATGCGAGATTGAACACTAAATCCTACTCATATTCCATGGCCTTATACCGTGTTCATTAGGGGTGAAAATCTTCTCGCGCGTTACGTTCGAAATCGGTTTCGTTTTTCAAGATCGCCATCACCTGTTTGCATTTTCTTACCGGTTAATGCGAGATTGAACACTAAATCCTACTCATATTCCATGGCCTTATACCGTCCGTGTTAGGGGTGAAAATCTTCTCGCGCGTTACGTTCGAAATCGGTTTCGTTTTTCCTCGTGCAAATTCATGAAAAATTTTTCGTTGTTCAATCTATTCACATATTACACGCGAGTAATTGTTGAATTCTATTACTCTAACAAAACTTTTGAGTGATTACCCTTTATATTTTGCGCACACCTATTTTACATCTAGTCCGAAACATGACGTCAATTCATACCGATTGCCCTCCGCAGCCGTTGATAAACAACAATAAATGTGGGCGGAATGGCTGCCCGTCGAATGTCAAACGCGGTATGCAATGCCACGCCTGCAAGGCCTGGTGGCATTTCAAGTGCACAAGTTTACAGTACGACCAGATAAGCCGACTAGCCAGCTCTCCTGGCCCGTTTGTCTGTGCCAGCTGCCTCTACGTCAAGGGTGCAATGCATACCGCAGCGAAGAGAAGAGTCCCCCGAAACGGTACCCAATCCCCAGTGCAGATGCCGAAAGACCACTGCCAGTGTTCCGCTTTAATCGGGATACTCGACGCGAAATTAGAGC